CTCCCTAGAGCCAGGCGTAGGAGAGCCAAAGCCGAGCTCTCCAACATTTATGGACACGCGGATGGCTTCACCACCTCCTCGAAGGTCTTCCCGTCGTGCGTCACTATGCAGCTGTATCTCTGATGGTTTTCCCAGTCTGAGGGAGTGACGGTCAGGTAACTGGTGGCCATATACTTGTCACCCTGTTTGGCGGGCTCGCTGGTTTGCACTCCTGAGGAGATGGCTTTCCCATCAGCCTGCCAGTTGACTTGGACGGTCTTTGGGTGAAAGCCGTCTACGAGACAGACCAGGGTGCCTTTGCCCTTGATCTTGATCTCTTCCTGAGACGGAGGGAAGAGATGCACTTTAGGCGGGACAGGTGGCTGACCTGAAAGAGAAGAAGCATTTTCTTTAATATTTCGACGAAGTTAAGGTTAGCTCATGGAAGCATAGTTGAATCTCCCCAACTTTTCAAGGCTGTGGAATGTAGTCATGACCTGCCTATTGGTAAAAGAATGAAGAACCCCCATAGAAGATTAATATCTCATGAAGTTCTAAGATTCAGAAAATGGCCGTTGTACCTCCGTCTGGAGCATAAAACCTATTATATCTCTAGGTGTTCAGTTCCAAATCATATCCAGTCATGTACAAATTATTCAGAGTCAACGCAAGAAATGTTAATGCTGAATGTTATATCAAATCCAGAGATATAAGCGATAAGGCAGGAATCTGCGTGAGGGCTGAAAGCTGAGGTGTGTTGTGTGAAGGTGGAGACACATTCTCTGTATAACAGAATGATCACAACCTCCTCTATGCCATAGAAATCCCCTATAAATTCAGCCTATTCTCCTCACAAATTTTTTTTTGCTTCTGCCATCATGGAAGCTTGAATTCTTTCCATGATGTATCCAAAAGGATCGCCCCCCCCTCACCCAGAAAAATCTTTCCTTCATTTAGTTCCTATGTCATAAAACGAGAGCATTAGAGCTCTTTTTAGAACAGCACTTTCAAAAGCAAGCTCCACTAATGATCAGAGATCCATCCTTTTCTCTCCATGGTGAAAGAGAAGTTGGGAATTTGATTCCCTTCTGTGCCTCCTGGGAGGTCAACCTATGTAGCCTCCAGCAAGCTGCATAGTCTCAGGGCACCTTCAGAAGCAGGGAATAGCCAACCACTACCTGGAAAATCCTCAGAAAGGGTCAACATAAGTGGAAATTGACTTGACCACACTCCATTATTAAATTAGTTACACCTAAAAGTGGATAAACTGTGTTCCCAAGTAGAACGAGATATGTACTGGCTGTCAATTCCAGTGGAGAATTCGGAATTGGTTACAGAGATGGATTTCAAGATTCTAGAAAGGAAATGGCTTCTTCGGTGGACAAGCATGACAAGGAGTGATTTTACCCAACCCCTTATTATTGTGAAGAAATACTCTGAAACTCTTAATTCAAGTTTAGATTATCTTTGTAGCTAAAATGATCTCCATTTTGATTTGGGCCATGTCTTCTCTACCAAAGAAATGGAGTTCATTGCCAACCATGGAAGCCACCATGAAATAACTCCTCCAAGAATGAGGACCACTGACCTTCTGTAGCCAAACCTACCAAGAGTCTTAGGACATCCAGAACTTGGGAAAGTTACTTCTTTGAAGTGTAGCTTCTGCCCAAGCCAGTAGAGTTCCTCTGTTTAGTGATGTGTAGCATTTCTGGAATGTCTAGTTCAAAAAAAGAAACTTCCCCAAGCTCTAGCGACATCTTGAAGACTTTTTACCTATCCTCTGGACACTGATGGATAATAAATTTTTTCCATTGAGTCTTCCCATGCATGGATCTGCCTACAAATTCCCATCAATAAGAAAAAGAGCAGCTCCAGAGAAGTAGCTTCAGATACTCAGAGGTTTCTTCCATCTGGGAATGGCTCTACAGAGCTTCAGAGAGTCCCACCAAAAGAAACACTGGACAAATGGGATTTGTAAGTTCCTGGATGGCTTAAAGCAGAGGTCCCCAACCTTGGGCCTCGAATGGGATTTATAAGTTCCTGGTTGGCTTAAGGGTCCATTCTAGCTAGGATGAACCATTGGATTTAACCCATCAAAGGGACAGGTCCATTTCCATGTAAACCATCATGCTGTTTTGTCTTCATACATCTGTGTAAGGATGTGGAGAACACCTGACATGCACGCCGGAGGAGATGTAATTAATTAATGCATAGCCCTCCCTCTGTCAATCTCTGAATACTGAAAATTACGTATCAATTGATGCCGTTTTTATAAAAAGTGCAAAATGCAGGCTAAAGCTTTTAATTTCAGGCTTGCATGAATTTCCTGGGAATAAATCTCACTGACTCTGGGCCTTTCTTCCAGAATCATTATCCTGAGTCATGGCTTGGTAAGGAAATTTGCCTCAGTCTTGGGAGCAAATTGCTAGAGGGCGCTTATTGTGTACCTTGTTTGGGTGTGTCCCTTCAGAATGAAACCATTAATGAGCAACAATTTGGCACCAAGACTTATGGGATTTCTCTAATGTAAGTGTAAATCGACAGTAGGATTCTAGCCTGATTTGCTAAGTTACTAAACATTAAAGCAGAGGCAGTCCCATTTTTCCTTCTACTTCATGCTAGTGGACAGCGAATTGGGTCTATACCGAGATTCTTAGAACAGAAAAATGGAGATCAGCAAAAAGTATTTTCGTAAGAAAATAAGACACTAAAATGCCCTTGATTTCTGTCTGACTGTTATCAAGAATTATATCTGGAACCACCTCTGAGGAGGAATCACATTATATATGACTCATTGAATACCTGGAACTTCCAATGGTCTTGACCTCTCATGCAAAATCCGTTTAACAGGTCTACTCTAATGGAGAGTTACAGTTGGACCTCTCCCATTGTCATTAACATTCAAAAACAATATAGAAGTTCTCTTTAATTTGGAGCACATTGTTTGGCTGTAGGTGATCTGGATTGCGAAGTTATAAAGCTAGAGAGTTCTTCATTGTATAAACATTTTGATGAAATCCCAGAGGAGAAACCAGACCAAAACCTCATAGGAGTAGAGTTTCTAGTCTCTCCCAGTTGTAGTCAAGTCTAGTTCTCCAGCATGAGGGCAGGGTGTAGATCCACAACCCATGTTGTTTTAACATATATTACAATAAAATTTACTGAAATTCTGATCCCTTGATATGTTTCTCCATCCCACAGTAAAAGGTCCTGCGAGAATCTGAGTCTGGTTCTGGACAGATTTTCATCCCTTATCTCATGGACCCAAGTCAAAAGACATTTCCAACATGGGGATGGGAAGAGAGAAGGGAAATTTAAACATCCTGGCTGACTATGCTTAGAAATCCGCTTCTTATTAAAGATCCTATGCAGATAGTAGAAGAAAGAGAAAACCGGGGGGGGGAAATTAAGTTATTTTCAAAGAAACAGAAAAGTAGGTGATAAGTTTAGTGACGTACCAGAGACAGTCAAACGGGTTCCTCCACCAAAGACAATCCACAGTGATGCACTGCAATACAAAAACCTCCTACCTTTGATAGCAGAGGAAACTGGTCCACACCAATCCTACGAAGAGGCGAGTGTGCATGTGGATCATTCTTTTGATAGACAGTGTCCATTAGCAAAAAGGTTGGAACTGAATGCAGAGTCTAAACAGAAAACAATATTTACCCTCTTTGCCTTAGTTGACAAATGTTGTGGGTCTTGATAGCAATTCACAACAATGGCATGGTCCATTTTTACACAACTGACTCTTACTCCTTGCAAGCGTATGAGCTTCACCTATGTCTTTGGTATCCATTTCTAAATGGAGAGTCAAGGTGAATTATCCATAATTGTTTGACAGATCCGGGACGGGCATCAATGGCTGCTCATGGTCCGTCCAGGTGACTGAAAGTTCTTAGAAAAGGCCCCAGAGTCACAAAAGAAGCGCAGCTTCGTATGTGTTATAATTGTGAACCCGAAGCCCTGGTCCCTTCTTTTCAAGAGATATATACACAGTAAATAGATGTGTGTGTGTAATGAAGTGTCAGCTCTCCTCTTAACCCTTTGAGAAGTCAGTTGTTTAACAGTGACTGCGTGGAGAGCTTTGGAGGGGTAATATTCCAATAAACTTGAAATTCAGAGTATATGGATGCTTAAGGGCAGAAGAAAGATCTGCTTTGTTCCTGTGGATCTGTCTTCTCCCTGTTTACTGCTAGCATTCACCATTTCCTGCCCGTAACCTGTCTACCCCTTGGATGGATGAGCAGATCGCTCTTTGGATCCTAACTGCTTTGCATCATGGATTTTGTAGATCCTAGAGATGCAGGCTCCCCAATGGTGCAATGGCCTGGACTGCATCTCAAGGACAAAATGGGGAATGAGGGTCGTCCTTAGCAGATTCCCTTCCTCTCTTGGAGAAGGGAGTTTTATTGACGGCTTGACTTGGGGCTACCTTTGGCCTTTCTCCAAACAGAAGAGGTAGGAAGCCTTTATCCTTGAGACACAGGTAAAATGCATGGTAGGCCTAAACACATGGTGGCCATCATACCATTCATTGCAACTCCATGGCTTGGCTTAAAGTGGAAGGCTGTTTGTTGTGAACAAAGAAGGTAGAACGCCAGGATCTGACGTTTCATACTCTGCTTGGAAATTCCTTGGAACCATATTTGTCTTGCAGCTCTATAGGGCAGGAAATAGGATGCTGGTTGCGAGGGGTGTTTGTTCTGATCCGAGAGGACTCTTATATTTGGGGACAGGCAGAAAGCAAAGGTTGGGGTGTGTGTGTCAGTTGGCAAGCCAGGACAATCTGCAAGTCACTTGTTATAATGCAGAGTTTCAAGAAGGACTTTGGCCCAAATCCACAGCAAATCCCACTAGAGTTGGCCCCTGGAATCAAAGAGGATTTTTTGAGTCAACTCCTCTGTAAATTCCGTGGATTCAAATCAGTCTTCTCTAGCTGTTGATTTCCTTACTGAGTGCCCCCCCCCCGGTAGGGTTTGGCAGAAGAGATCAAGAGCCCTCCTGATTCTTTGGCAAGTTGTACTTGTTTTATGGTGGCTTCCCTGGTTGCCAATGAAGTGTGTTTAACCTCTTGGGAGTACATGTCAAAAATCTAAACAAAGACTGGCTTCTTGCCCACTTAATGGAGCTGTGATTGGGGCCATATCCCAAATGACAACTTCTGAGGCAGTAAATGCTATAGCAGAAAGGCTGTAAGAAGCTCTGTTCATCAACGTTAATTGTATTTGTGAATGTGAGAATGTGAGGTTTATAATGGTAGGTTCTGAGTCAAGATGCAGTTTAGACTCTTCCCCATTTCTTGTAGTTTTCTGTTATCTTCTGGGTGGTCACATTAGTTCTGATGAAGGGTGACTCTAATATGGTTTTCCAGGTATGCAAGATGAT